ATCAATGAAATTTCACCAGACCTGGCAACACTGGTGCGCTCGGTTATCGGAAATAAGCAAGGCTGTCATATGGACGGTACTACCGATAGAGCAGGGAAATAATGTCCCTAAACTAATTATATGGGACTGATTGACTGGCTTGATCCGTTACATTTCTTAGATGTTCGTAACTAACTTTCTTCTCAGAGGGTCTAACTTGTGTTGATGAGCTTTTATGAGCTGACGACGACGACGCCATTTTTGTATTAATGATAATCAGCAAATATATTTCCAAGGTATTTTCTTACTGTTTTGACATTCCCTTTGTAAAAAACACTTCTTACGTTCAAGACTTACTGTCGCCGAGTCAAACTTTCTCTTCATTTCCTTTCAGCTGTCAGGTTCTTTTTACGTGGTTGTCGGCTTCACTTTGCAATTTTATGGATAAAGCACTATGTTTCTTAAAACAACATTTCAACCTTTACAGCGTCAGTGTAACAGCAAATTTCTTACACGCCCTTACTTCCCGCCAAGAAAGTTGATTTACGGCAAGGTAAAAAAACGTAAATGGTGGGTTTTTAATTAAACAAAAACAGCACTGCTCATTCTGCTTTAACGATTTCGGTGAGAGTTATAATTGTATATTTCCCATGCCGGCAATTAAGATTTGAAACGGTGCATGATGTCCAGTTTATTTTAGTTACATGTAGAAGCTTCTTCCATTTCTTTTATTAAATATAACAGCAGTCATGCAAAATGAATTTGTCAAGGTCGTACAGACCCTTATGAAGGTTACTCGCTTGGCCATGATGATTATTAAAAAAAAATAATAATAATAAAGGGTCTTTATTGCACTAAACATTTAGTACATTACGAGGGGCGAGGTTTAGCGTGAGCTATTCTTCCACCTAACCCCGTTTTGATAATTTATACGAAATTACATAGAAATGGATGACATTAACTATGGTACATACATTTAAATCGGTTGTTTTAAACCAACAAAACTGTGATCAAAGGGATTTTTTTTTTAAATCAACCATCATTAACCAATAAAAAAATATAAGTGGCAATTCATGTTTGCGAGAGAAGATCGGACTACAATTTTAATTTAAAAGTTTTAATATTCGCAATATTTTTAAAATGAAAATTAATACTGTTGTAATATTTAACGGCATTGTAAATAAAGGTTCTTGAATATAAAACAGTACGGTGGACTGGCAGTATAAAGAAAGCCTGATGCCTTGTGTTAATATTATGCGTGCTGGATCTGGTAATAAATTTTTCAAACAGGTATGGGGGTGATGCGGATAGTAAAATACGATGCACAGAACTTATAAAAAAATATTTGTATAGACTATCTATAGTTAACCAATTGAGGTCAGAATACGTATGCGATATATGATCAAATTTCCTATCTACTACAAGTATTTTGCATTATCTGTAGATGTCTTTTATTCGCAGCAGTTAGGCAGGGGTAATAAATTATTAGCCCATACGAAATCTTAGACAATACCAAGCTTTCACATAGCTGTTTTTTCAATTGCTTACCAGTGATGCAATTGTTTGCAAATAGAAGCCGGAGTGAACCGTAACATTGCCTCAAAACGTGCTGTAAGTGTTTTTCAAACCTCAGGTCTTCATCTAAATGTAAGCCCAAATTTTTGGCACATTCTGAATAAGGGATGATTTTTCCTTCGATTTGAACGTCAATTTTGCTTATAAGATTTTCTCTTATTTTGATATTACCAAAAGCAAGGCTTTACACTTCGATGGGTTGAGCTTGAGGTTATATAACTTGCAATAGCGGCTAATACTTGACAAATCATTGATTTGGTCTTGGGCTCCAGAGTAGCGCGAGGCTGGAAAATCATACCTTACCTGAGTGTCATCGGCAAAGAATTGCACATGACAGTGCTTGACAGTATCTTGAAGATCCGCGGTGTATAACAAAAAAAGCAATGGAGCTAATACGGAGCCTTGAGGTACCCCGGCCTGAACTTTATTTTGCAAAGACATCTGACCATCAACCACAGCCACTTGCGGCCGATCACTTAAATATGACTTGATGAGCTTACAAGCAAGATCATCAAAGCCATAGTAATGACATTTGGCTACAAGCAGTTTGTGATTCAATGTATCAAATGCCTTCGAGAAATCTAAAAGGACAAGAGCACACAAGTTTTTATTGTCAAGCGCGGAAATTATGCCATCGATCAAGTCCACTAAAGCCGTAGTAGTGCTATGATTTTTTTAAAACCCGATTGATGAACACTTATAATATTGTTTTTGTCTAAGTACTCGTAAATCTGGATATAAGCTGCGCGTTCCAGTATTTTGGAGAGAAGAGGCAAAATACTTATCGGTCGTAGGTCGTCAAATGACAAAGGATTCGAGGTTTTAGCGAGTGGTTTTACCATTGCTGTTTTCCACGCGCTTGGAAAATAGCCTCTCTCTAAGCATAGATTGATAATATGCAACAAATAAAGATTTATAGCGGGATAGCATAATTTTAACATTCGCAACGTAACTCCGTCATTACCAGATGCATT